TTGTTAAGCGCCTCTTGTGATGTGATGGCTGTTATCAATGAACAAGCAAACACTATCAAAAGCTTGATTTTCAATTCAAAAGTCAATAATTATTTGGTGCAACTCTTCACCAAAGTCAACAGGTTGGTTCCCAAGGTATCCATCCATGAAATAAAAGTCTTTCTAATTACAAAAGAGCTTTCAGTCATTAACTGAAGTGCGAAGAAGAGAGTTCGCGTACTCCCTTTTCTGTACCGCCCCACCCCCCCGCCCCGGTATTACCTTTCCCCTGGTCTGCAGGATCTCCCACCCTCTGCAACAGATTGATTGATTGATTGGGTGGTACAGAATTACAAGAAGAATGAATTGGTGAAAACTACCTCTGCCAAAAAATGAGAAAAAAACTATTAGCTGGTGCCAAGAGTGCCTTTTCTATCAGAGCAATTACCCTTTTGGGAATATTCGTATCTAACCCTGTATTTTAAGCAACCAGCAGGATCCTTTTCAGAATCCACCCAAGTTTAAGATACCTTCATTAGCAACATGCTGGGATAAAGAGAGAACATGACCGCATAGTCTCAAAAACACAAAGTCGAACACATTTTATGTGCAATGTGACTTTAAAAGCTTCCAAGGAATGAACCACACATTTATGAGTTAAGATTCTGATTAGGTCACATAATCGGCTTTCCACTTTTATAGGAAAAATGAAAATCACCTTATGCTTTTTGAAAGAATGACAAAGCTGGATGAACTGTTGTAATCTTATTTCTCTAACCATTACATAGCACATGAGTGCTCTCATATATAAGAATACTACATTCCAAGATCTAAAAATATACTCTTTTTAAAAAGTCCCATAAACTTACTTTAAAAGACTCCAACATAATAAGAAGCAAGAAGCTATCATAGCCTGAATTAGGCAATATAAAATCTAATAAAAATCCTATAATTTAGGCTAGCAAATGCAACTTTCTCCAGAAGGTTAATAATCCTTTAAAGCATGTTATCTTTTAAGGCTTTACACTCTTTGGGGGGAACTGAATAGAATATAAGGGTCTGGAAAGAAGGATTTTATTCTGAACCATCATAAGGATTTAAAATTACAACACACTGTACCTATACTAGGTGTACCAGTATAAATACAGTATCGAGCATGCAGACTGTTTAAGACCAAGGATAACATTTCAGATTTGTATTTATTTATTTTACATATCATAATGTGCTCTTTTAATTAAAAAAGAAAAAGTAGGCCAAGAGTATAGACAAATGAATGCCCAAGAATGCAGAGCTTGCCATGCTTTTCTGTTAAGACTTTACTCGGGAACTGCATGGCTCCAGGAAAAAGGAAACAGCTAAACTTCTGAAAGTGGAGAGAGAGAGAAACTCCCAGGTTTTCTCATCACACCTGACCTTAGCTGTACTATGATTGGCCAATCTTTGCAGTCAGGAATCAGCAAACCTCACAAGATCAAAGCCTATCAAAGTAAACTTGAGCAAATATTGTCCAATCGTTTCACCTGTCACCTCATCAATTGCAAAACTCTTTTCGTATAGCTGTACAGAAGCAAAACTGCAAGAAACAGCTTCTTGAAATTACATTGGAGGATCTGTTATGAAACAGATTTTGGTCTCTAACTCTTTTAATGGTGCTTTAGTAGGAAAGGAGATTACAAACACAGTATCAAGAGCAGAATAATCATTCACAATGGGAGACGTGTGAAAAAGAGACCCATTTCATTTCAGAACACAGGAGCAATGGCTGTGCAGGGAGGGGAAACCATTTTTGTTGCTCTTGCATAACAGGCTTCAAAAGAAGCAACATTACATTAAGTGTAAAGCTGTGGAGATGTGTTCAATATTTCTTTCACACCACTGCAAGTCACCAACTTTTGAAGCAATGCATTCTGGTCAATTATTTTTAGTTTCCCCAACACTCAGAAATTATAATACCAGAATGCTTTTCCAGCCAAATAATGCACCCTTATCTTGAGCAGCAGAATAGGGAACATTTTGACTATTCCTTCTGAAGAGTGAATTACATAGAAGCAGAATATAAAAAGCATATGAAAGCCAGACAGCCATCTCAGACATCACACAGCTCTTTCAGATCTCATGCTACTTGCTAGGAAATGAGCGATGTGCCAGTTTTACAGATGGCATAAGCCTAATTCAGGCATTACGGGAGCATCTTTAAAGAGTGGAGGAAGAGGGCTGCACTAGCCTTGTCCCCCTACATTGCCAATCTAATCATCCTGTCTGCATGGAAGACAGCGCTGTGAAGAAGGCAGCTTCGCCTGCCCATTACCCAGCCTTCTAGAGCAGGTGGAAAGGCAGGCCTCTTCACAGAATCAGGCTTCGTGCATTCAGCATGATGAAATCACGCATGAAGGGGCATGAGACTAGTGCACTCCCTTTCCTCTCCCGTTCAGACAATACAGTCTGAGAAGGCCTGGGTCAGGCTTCAAGTTGTGTGAATCAAGCCTTTACCATCAAGGCAAAAACATTCCAGGTCAAATGCCAGCCAGTTACACCCAGGCATGTCCACACACTCAGGACTATGCATGCTATGTTAGTATCACTTCTCCAGCCTGCCCATTTTCACTTTTTCTCAACAGGATCCCATGACTGTCATCCCTTAAGCAGGGTTGTCAAGGGGAGAACCTCCTCTCAGAGGTCGCTCCACCTAATGTTCCCAGCCGGAGCTCCACCTGGCACAACTACCTTTTTGCTAATTTCCTTGTTCCTACAAGATTTACACAGAGAGCCCTTCCTTTCCCAAGCACTCCTGTCCACATTACAGCAATCAGGGTATGGGAGGAACTCCCACTTGGTTTCAGCTGAGGCCTTTTACCAGCACTGATCTGCTGTAAACACTCTTTGGGAGGAAAGAGATAAAGAGGAAGGTGTTGCCAGGTGCAAAAGACAGATCAGACTTCTGTTCTGAGCAACTGCCACCTGGCTTCAGTGACCTGAGAATCCACAAGAAGCAAGCGCTGCCCCTTTCTCTTCAGTGCCAGGGCTGTTTTCTTTTTACAATTCTTTGCAATGTTCTGTGCACACTGACAACTCCCTGTTCAGCACTAGAATGCATGTTTTGCACACAGAAACTCCCCTGGCTGGAGGAGTTCCCTCTTTGAAAAGCTGGAGAGCTACTGCCGGTCAATGAGCACCACAGATGTGCATGGACCCAAAGCATTAACCAGTATAAGGCAGGAGTTGGTAACCTGGCGACCTTCAGCTGCTTTTTTTTTTAATTACAGCTCCCATCAGCTTCATCCAGCATGGCCAAAGTCCAGTAATTTTGGGAGTTATGATCCAAAAGGCACTGAGTTGTCTGTCCCTGGTGTAAGGCACCTAAAGATACACTGGATGTGTGAAGCATCCCCCGCTCAGTAGTGAAGAGGATGAAGTGAGCCCTGCTTGCAAAGAACCCTGTGGGCGTGGAAGAGCCCTATGCAGATCCAGGAGACTCGCCATGCCTTCTAGTTTACGATTCAGGAAATATATCTAGCTAATGCCTCAGGAGTTTTAAGTGGAGTATATCAGTACAGGAAAAATAAGCACTACTAGGTTTCAAATGTTGACCAACGAGCCTTCATTACTACTGTCTCCCATAACTGCTACTGTGTAGTTTGGTAGTGCATTACGCTTTCATGACTGGTATCGCAAGTATATTAGTTCTTAACACTGGTCTCTAATTAGGAATGGTTCAGGCAAGAGTCAGCTTTCTTTCAACCAAAGTGGGGTAATTTGGGGGAGTTCTCTTTTCTTTTGGGGGAGAAGTTGTTTCAGAAGTTGTTTCATTTCACTCCATTCCCAAACCTATTAGGACTTCCACTAGCTCTGAATGGTGGGCCACTTTGCCCATTGTAGGCAAAGAAATGAGACAGACAAATGAAACACTGAAGTCATAAAGGAGAACAGGGAATCCATTTAGAGAGCCATCCCTTAAATTAATAAGATGAGATGTTAATGAGCCTACTTCCCTTTGCCTTATCCAGGAAGCCTCAGATTCATCATAATTTTCCCATTTTATTTTAACTGGGAAATGTTTACTTGTTTCAGCATAAGCCAGGAGATAGTAAACTAACTTCAAGACATGGTTTAATACCCTTGTCTGTTCCACAGAGGGTACCCATAGCTTCCTAGCTCAGAAGAAAATACAAAACTACAACTAATTAGACATCATGATCTGCTTGCTTGTATCACAAAGTGTTGCATGTGTGGGTGAATGGCTCATTCATATCTTAGCATTTTAAGAGATGATCATGCAAATGCATAATTTATTCAGTCATCTTCATTGGCAAAATCAGCCACTAAACAAAATAGAGGGTCTTTCAATGATACAAGAGGAATTCATTGTTGAAATACAAGAGGATTCCATGTTCCCTTCAAATCCATCCTTTAAAGATGAGAAGGTAACATTTCATGATAATGCAGAGAGCTTTGAAGTGTATCCAGTTTGATTTATATGCTTCTAGCAAGGTGCTTCAAGTCTACTTCCATAGCCAATATCGGAACATGAAACAGCTTCAAAGGAAAGCGTTTACAAATATATCTATCACTACGTGTACAACTTTCATGGAAGGATGTTCTTCACAAGTGGTAGCCCTAGACCAACTTCTTTGGGAGTAAATCCCAGTGAAGTTAGTGGGACTTCTGCCCACCCTGCTGGATTCTGATGACAACATGGAAAAGTGCAGTCCTGTGCAAGAGCAGAAGTCCTGCAAAAATAGCTGTAGGACTAAATGGCTAAATGTGCTCAGGGTTGTATCCCAACTGGGCAAAGCTGGAAGTATCCCTCTCTCTCTAGAGAGGTTGTGCACAGCTTACTCTATAGCTTACTATTTTACTCTTTTCTTTTTTTTCCTTTGATGTCTATCACTTTGGAGCTGTATATTTTAACTTTACTTTTTAATGAGAAATACTATTTTCTTTTTTTAGAAATTCAAGAATACATTTTTTCCAAGCAGAAAAATGTACTGTTGTGCATGGATATGCAGCAAGTATACACTTACCAAGCTTCAGGCAGCAAAAAGGAATATTCATGTGGAGAGGTGGTCTCTGGAAAATTAGAGAGAATTGCCAACCGATGCGGAAGCAAGTCAGATCCATGGTACGTGAACAAAATCTCCAGTGCTCTTACATTGCTTTCCTGTGCAAATAGTTCAGTTTTAATATTTGAGAAGCAGCTTATGGATCTTGCTATTTGATAATTAGCCTTATCTTTAAATTATGGAAGGCTGCATAGTGTGTTTAAAAGAGGATTATGCAACCTTCCAGGTTTTTACTGTGCACCCCTTTTATTTATGACAACTAATCCAGCAAACCCATGTCACTCGTCCATTCAAAAGCTGGAGGTCTTTCATGAATGTTTTGATATAAAATCTATTCTGTTACCCAAAAGGGGGAGAAGGGGATCCTTTCACCAAGTTACCTATTACCTAAAGAGGAACTTCGGATGTTTAGAACATAAGTGCACTGCTAAAACAAACCCAAGGCCTCTCTAGTTCCATATTCCATTCAGAGAGTGGCCAGACCGATGCCTGTGTGAATCCCATAAGGTGGACATGAGTGCAACAGTCCCCATCCAGCTCATGATTCCCAGTAGCTGGCAAGAAGAGCCATATTGCCTTTGATCCTGGAGGTATTATATACAGCCCTCATAGCAAGTAGCTAGTGATAGCCCTTTCCTCCATGGATTAGTTTAATCCCTTTCTAAAGCTATCACTACGACTTCTGTTAGTAATTTCCATAATATAATGATGTGCTGTGTGAAGAAATACTTCCTTTTATCTTTCCTGAATCTCCTACTAGTGAATTCCTCAGGAGATAGACTATGATTGGATTAGAATGACCTGGACTGGACTCACTGTCATTGGAACCCATATTTACCAGACAATAGGTCACCCTGAGCACTGTCTTCTTGGTAGAAAGGCACTGCACACAAAAAATGCAATGCAATGCAATAAAGCTAAACTCCTATATTGTGTATCTGAGACTAAGCCCAATTTAACTCAGTGAGACTCACTTCCAAAAAGAGAAGTGTAGCATTATGCTATAATTGCCTAACTAGAATACAATTTATATGATGGCAACAGTAAATATATTGATGAAAAATAATATGAAATTATCCATTAATATGTTTCAAAAGAAGTTATACCCGAGCATACGTTCTTGCAGAAAGAACAATGTTTTGATTTCGGAACTTCTTGAAGAACTCTGCATCGTATCTCTGCTCAGCATCATGTGGTCCTCCAAGGATCTCCTGAAGAAGAAAAATATCGACGTATTTCACAACCATTTCCCATTTTTCAGAACTTCTCAACACATGAGATGGTCAACATCCTAAAGGGAGCAAAAATAAACCACAACTTCGCTGACATTCTCCCCTCTTGACCTGTGCAATGGTAGATGGGTCAGCTGCGATTGGGAAAAAACAATGTGCCAGATCTAGAAGCCTGTGCCCATTACATTTGTCACTGTCTTCTTCTATTGTCTATGAGTCTTCATGATAGCCGAAAAGTTGGCTACCATGTTGTACTTTTTAGTCACATGATACAGAACTCTAAGCCTCAGTGAACACTTCAGAAAGGTGGACGTTTTGGTATTAAGTACCCAACAATTTAATATATGGTTTGTTGGGAGAAAAAAGACCAAATGGGAGAAAAAAAAGAGTCAATACACAAAGCTGCAAAAACAACAGGAATTTGCTGGTGTACAATCAACCATGATGCTGTTTGTATAATTGTTTGTAATAACTGAAGAATTAATAAGGTTGGAAAATCAGAAAACAAAATTTTCAGACTAAAATGTCCTAAAGCCACTATATAAGAAGGCATAAGCCAACAAATGCAATATTTAGTTTAAGAACTGCCTTCCATACCTCATATGTTGCTAGCCGATCCAGAAAGGTTAGTAGTTTCAACCGGCTACGACAAAGCTCTTTCTGTTCCAAAGTTAACCTGTTTTTAACAAGGGTGGGAAAAGGGAGTGTTCATTACTTTAATGAAGACTTAACAAAGAAACTACAAAATCCTGTGGAGTAAGATTGCAGTAGGGGTACAATTTTAAATAAAGAAAACACTTATTGCTAATTTGTAATTCCAGTTCAGCTCTAGCTGTGCAACATATGGCCAATTGTGCCTGAACACACCCCTTAGATGTATAGCAAGATGGCACCCAGCTGAAAACCAGGCAGTACGTAAAGAGACATTAGTGTCTTCTGTATCAGTGCTTATGCTGGCATACCAGCTACAGCCCTGCCTGGCATCCGTGATCCAGCGCATGGGAGTCTCTTGTTCAGACTACTGCAATGCACTGTATGTAGTGCTGCCCTCAAAGACATTTGGGACACTTCAGTTAGCACAAAAAATGGCAGTTATGGCACTCCTTGCCGCACCATTATAAGCATTTTAGGTTAATACTGCATCATCTTCACTGATTCCCAGTCTGTTTCAGGGCCTAACAGAAAGTGCTAACCTATAAAGCCATTCATAGCCTGGGGTCTCAGTACCTGTAAGAACGCCTCTTTCTGCATGATCCCTGAGGTCATTATCACAGCCCTGTTCCAAAAGCTCTAGCATGTCAGGATAAGGCAGGTGACTACTCAGAAGCAGGCCTGTCTAGTAGAAGCCCCTCACAAGGCAAGTACACGATGCCTTGCCCAGGGATGTTCCCCTACTGCCTGGCTTTGATATACTTTTGGTGCAAGGTGAAATCCTCGGCATCTGCTGGGAGCCTGTATTTTGATCCTGATCCTTTCAGTACTCCTTTTATGCCTGCTTCTAGTGTCTACTGCTTTCAGTTTTTTGCTTATTGTGCAGTTTTTTTTCCGTTTTTCATCTTTGGTTTTTACGTTGCCCTTAAAGTTTCCAGTTGTGGGAGACTGTTAAAATTTGGAAATGATTGACTAAAGGAGGATGCAACATGCTTATTCAGAATGAAGTCCTACAACTCCCAGCATGACCCATCATGCTTCTTTTCATTTAAATAAGCACAGGACTGAGCCATTAAAAAAGAAATAGATGACTCTGATTTGGATGTGTATGTGCAAGTATTAATTAGGAAGTGCTACGTGTGGGTCTCATGTCCCTAACATGCATGGCTTTTAATGCATTTACTGCATGCAGGCACTCATCTGAACTCACATTCAAGAGTGTCCCTCCAAAATCTGATGCCTGACAGATGTTTAGGATTCCTGACCACTGGCCATGCTGGCTGAGGCTGATGGGAGCTGAAGTCGAAAGCATATGCAAGGTGCCATGTTGCCTAGGCCTCTTCCACAGCAGCCACTGCAATTACGGCTGTATTGAACAGCTTGTCCTGATGTGATCAGAGGTAGATCAGGGAACCTATCTACACATTTCAAATCCCAATGTGAAATGCAATAAACTAGGCTGCTTTCAAATCTGCTGGCAGTTAAAATTCTATACCTTGATCCAATTAGAAGAAAGATGCATTTAAAAACCTCTTTCCCTTGGGAGATTGTGCCTATAGACCTAGCAATACAGCAAGAAGTGGCTGAGCCTGACATTTCATTTACTTGGAGAAGTTTACTGATTGAAGAAGTTCCTGACGCTTCATAGCTTCCCGCTCCTTCCTACTCTCTGCTTCTTCCTCAGGAGTTAAAAACTCTTCATAAAGCAGTTCATCAATGTCCACATCACCTGGCAAGATAAATCTAGGAGGGAAATGGCAATCAATGAACAGAGGACTGGTTATTTGGTCAAGAACAGGTTTTTTAAAGCTATGTTTTAGATTAAAAGAAAAAACAACAAAGAAAGGGGGAAAGTAAGGATGTTAGGTTTTCACAAGTCTTTGCACTCATTTGAAAAGATGTTATTCTTCATATTTCTCTCTTCAAATATAGAAATGATTTGTACTAGTTTAACCTCAGCAATTATTAAAACAGCTCTTACAATTATGTTAATATTATAAATAGATGCATGTGGAAAATTCGAAAGAGCCATCTGTGAACACCCTCCTAGCAAAGCACCGCCATTTGTATCTTGCATTTCATAAAACAAGCTTTTCACTCTATTCCATTGCAATGCTAAATGCTATGGATAATTTTAAATGATTAAAAAGGTTCCACTGACTAACTAGATTCCCCCAATTAACCAGGAAGCAGATTTTTGGAATTAAAATCAGGCAACATTCAGCGTTGCACAAATGAGTAGCAGGCCTTCCCCTTCTCCCCTCTCTCTAAGTACCCTCTGTACACCCTGCAATCTGCTTCAAGGGGTCTCCCACAGAAAGGGGGAGGGGGAGGGGGAGGGGGAGGGGGAGGGGGACTCCATTCTGGTAACAGTGCCTGCTTTGCTGCACTGACAGTGGGTGCCAACCCATTATTTATTGGACAAGTACTTATAAAAGCTATACATGGTAAAGTTGGATTTTTGCTCTTTGAAAGAGATCCTTCCCTCACAGAGAGTAGAAATGCTTGCAGTGATGCACGCTAGCATCATTTGAAAACAAAGAGCTTGCGCTTCTTGCTTCAGAATACCATTTTTATCCATACACAAAATGTCTGCAAATGTAAGTGCCAGAATAATTGGCAAAAGCCTTCAGCTATGCCTTATGGGCCAGTCACCACATCTGACCCTAATCCAACCTCACACTATTGTGAAGATAAAATCATGTGTGTATGTGTGTGGGTGAGGAAGGGGGTTACAAGAAAAGCAGAGATTCTTTTTTAAAGATGCAAATGCTTAACTGATAAAATATTGCTTCATCAGGTTGCAACTCTACATTTAACACACACACACACCAAAGGACAAAGGGAGAAACCATCTGCCAATCTGAACTTCTAATTTTGAACCGAATGTTAAACAGTTGTAAGTCACTGGTATGCTACATTTGCCACTGTTTTGTTTAATACAAGAAGTGACATCCCCCCTACCAACAGTTTGACAGTCCCCTCATTTCAGGAAATGTATCTATTTAAAATATTTCTAGCCTGTTTTTTTATTATTTTGGTGCCAACGGATGGCTAACAGATGTTAGAGAGCAAAAGTGATGTACTATTGTTTATAGCAAAATAAACACCAAGTCTGTGGCATGGGTACCACAAGTGAAAAAGAACACCGGGGTATGTGGCCCTCTTGGGAGCCCGAAGGCTCATGGACCCAGCCGTGATGCGGCCACAGGTCCACTGCTGCCTGCCTGAAGAGATTCGAGTCCAAACCACAGCACTGAGGGGAGGGCTGCACTTCCCACACAGTGTAGCCTGCACTAGAGTGTTTCCCTCTCATATTTAGGACTTGTCTTGGGATGCACTTGACACAGCTAGTTCAAAAGTTCCTTGAAATCCAACAATGTACCTTCACGGTTCAAACCATACTGCTCCAACCCCATTTTTTTAAACCCTTGGAATGTTGCAAGAAGCAATTTTGCACGTGTCCACCCACTCCACCAATCCGTAAATTCACTGGGGGTAGTTTACAGGTTTGCAAAGGAAGCAGTAACATGTTGACTTTGTCTTCACAAGGGGTCACAGCACGCAAAAGCAAACTGTGGAAAGTACTTGGTTTACCATCACAATGTCCTGTTTCATCAGGGGTTCTTGCAATAATTGCCTAATATTGTTAGCAAAGTGGAAAGTGCACGCCCACAAACCTGCCACCATCTTCTCCTTTCCTTATGGCTATGAGAGCCTCCAGGTCTGTCCCTTTTAAGCCATACTGCAGCAACTCTTTAGCAGCATCCACATTCTCAGGAACTCTTTCCAGGCACTCATGAAGAACCCAAGAACGTTTTTTAATTTTGCTCTGTCACCAAGATAAAGTGGGGAAAGGTCAGCAGTAGCTCATTACAGCCTGATAACAAACAAACTAACAAACAAGAGAATGCACTTATATCCATGAGGCGAGGCTGATGAACATTCGAAGATGCTTTACACAGAGGCTGGGCTCACACATCATGAGGATCCATGATTTCTTATCCTTGTTGGTCTGTTGTGTCGTCCAGACACAGTCACAGTGTTTCAGTATGGTACGTTTAGTTTCCCAAAACCACAGAGAGAATCAGTGGTCTGTCCTAAATAGGGATATGCAAGGATTCTGTTTGGGGGTGGGAATCCATCGGATTCCCTGGGCTCAAAAGTCCAAGCTCTTGATGGATGCCCCCAGCGTTTACAGGGCATGTGCCAGGAATCAAGCCCATACACTGCACAATCAGTGCTTCTCTTCCTCACTTGGCACTGCCACTGCTGGCTGCACTGTGTGGGGAAGAAGGCTGGTTGGCAGGAACAGTGCCTGGTGCGCCCCCGTGCAGCACCCCTATTCTGCATCCTGCGGCCACTCGTTGCTTGGCTGCACCAAATGGGGATTGTTGCTGGTCGTGCAGCCGGGAGTCCACAAGCATGTGTGGACTTCCTCTTGGCTTGGCTCTCTTTGCAGGGCTGGGCTGAGCCCTACACGACAAGGATTAACCCTGGTATCCTGGCTATTCCTCTGCTTGCTCTTCTGAGCAGACCGGGACAAAGGCTTTCTAATCCGTCAGCTTTATTATTTTATAGCTGACGAGCTAAGCTGGTCTTGCAATGTAAAAGAAGAGTATTACAGAAAAAATATACGAAACAAACAGTGCTGCAGTACTAACCATTAGGAAAATTCAGCTTAATGATAAGAAGTTGGTTCCAAACTGAATACATCTCCTCCCTTCCCATGGGAAAAGAGCAAACTACACCTTCGAGGCAGATCCTTCTCCTTAAGGGCCGACCACATGGAGCATCTGATGCTTCCAAGCTGGGCTGCCCTCTTCACCTGACACTGTGCACAAGGATTAATGATCAGTTCTCCCCATTTCACATTAGCATTTTCACAAAAATTCTCCACAGTATTTGAAACTGTTTGATTCCCAGCAACTGCTTGGCTTTTCTCTGGGTCTCCTGGGACAGGCATTTCTATTGCAGATTCTACCCTCTCCTCCTCAGAGTCAGACTCTTTATCAGACTCTGTATCCACAGGCTTTGAAAGCTCATTAATAGGAAAAGTGGGTCTAATTCCTACACATGGGACTGTCCAATCTCCCACTGGGCTTCCCAGAAACATTATATTTAGAATCATCTTTTCCCCACCCTTCCATAACTATAATTTAGACATCTACTAGCTTGCACAGAATCAGCAGACTTTTAAATAAAACATTTAACAGTTCCTTCTGCATTGAAATGGCAAAAGCAGGGGACCAAATCTGACCCACCTGACGTCCCAGACCCGACTTCCAATTCCCACCCCCAAGATAGCCATGCCCCTTTCCATGGGCTCTGCTGCCTTTTCATCTGTTGCTGGCAGTTTGGTGGTTTCCTGCCTTTTGTGCATTGTTTCCCCCATGAGCACACACAATTCGAAAGACTGAAATGCTTCTCCTAAGGCTTAATTCCTACAGATAAGTGCTTTCAACTAAAAGATGCTGGCATTCTTGGTCCCACCCCTTTTATCTCTGGCTGTATCTCCTTCTGTCTTTGGGCCTGCCCATCACTGACATGTGGCCCCCAAGAACTCTTCTGAAATTCAGTTCAGCTAGCGAGTGGGAAGAGGTTCAGCATCCCAGGTGCTAAGGTTCTCCTCCTAAATCCATGTTTCAACATGTAACTGGGGATGCTGGTTTCACAGGCCATGGCAACATTACAATGGCTTATGTCCAGAGATACCTTGTGTAAACAGAAGGGTTATTTTGTTTGTGCAGGTCCTTTGGATTAGCCCTTTTAACTGCAACTCCCTGTGCCTTATCACACATCATTCAAAGGGGTTCCACAACCCTCAGGAACAGCCTCGTAGGTCGCCACAGTGGGTAGCAGTGGAGGTAGAAGCCAGGAAAGCCCCATTCCCCAGGGAGTCACTGGCCTCTGTCTCCACCCAGTGAAGAAACGCTCCCTTCCCAAAGGAAAACGTACCAGATAATCTTGAATAGACGCAATGCTAACAGCAGATTTCCTCCACTGCCTCTGATATACAAGGTCAGAATCAAGGTCATATGTTTGAGCTAGTGACAAAGCTTCTCCGTACTCTTCATTATCAATCTAAAAACCAAGCATATAGAAATTAAAGCAATCCATGAGGGCTCATTGCAAAGGAGTCAATATACTATCCAAAGAACAGCATCTATCATTTTTCAATTTGATACAAGAGATTTAGGTTTATTTGAAGAAGCAGTAAAAGCATGTTCCGACCACATATAATCCTTTGCAAGAGAGCTGCCCAAGTCAAAACATAATTGAGCAATATTAAGTCCATATATAACGGCCAACTGGATACACTGAAAACAATATATAATAATAGATGCCCATGACACTAGATTTTACAGAGCAATCACATAGCAATGGGTGCTCAATCTTAAGGTGAAGATTTTTTTATTCGCACAGGTACAATATCATGTCTTCTGGGAACTCACAGAGAAAAGCAACCTGATGTTAAAGTTTTATCCGGAGGAAAAGCATCTGCACCTTTATTGATCGACCAGGCTTTTTCACCTGAAAAAGGATCGCAGCTGTTCCAATGTAATAAAAGATCCAGCAGGGTACTCTCACTTCCAGCAATTCCTTCTGAAAAATGCTGGGGCCCACCAGCTCCTCTTTCCAAGGAAGACCTACAACTCAGTTAAGGGAGATTCAGTGCTTCCTATGGGAAGCCCCCAATTGAGCAGAAATACTAATTTCTGGAAGAAGGAAGGTTCTGGAAGGAGGTAGGTACCTTATGTGAACTCTACCAACTCCTTATTTTAGGCTAAATTGAACTGTGGGCTGTTTATGCAATGGAACTAATGGGGGCGTAATCATCCCATTGCATTATGCCCTCTAAGGTACTTCCTGCTACTCTTCATGATACATTTAGAATTCAGAATCATGTACCTTGGGTTACATATGGATATGTATGGATGTATCACTGGGTGTAAAAACAAGCCACATCTGCTTCCAGCCTACATGCATCCACCTGGAGCACACTTTTTAAAAAGTAAATACAACTCAGGCTTAATAATCTGAAACAGAATTTAGAGCCAAAGAAAGGCTCAGCTGAGGGTGGGAAGTGGGTTGCTACTGCAAGGAATGAGTACAGTGGTACCTTGGCTCACGAACTTAATCTGTTCCATGACTCTGGTTGTGATCCAAGTCAAATTTCCCCATAAGGTTCAATGTAAATAAGGTTAATCCATTCTGTAACTATTTTTTTGAATCAGAAATTTTGAAACAAAGTGACAAAGAACAACAAAGTAACAAGCACTGTACAGTACAGTGGAGAACACTAACCTAGGTGGGGGGAGGTTATTGTTTTGAGGGAGAGTCCCCCTCCATAAGGACACTGGGGAGATCTCTTTCAGGGGTTTCCTCACTTCTTTGTCTCTTAGCTGCAGGGTTAATTTTGGTGAAAAATCTGTCTATAGTCTCCTGCTTTTTCCTGCACTGCATAATCCTCTGGATTGGGACCTGGTTATCGAAAGGAGCGCTTGCATCCATATCTGCCCTCCCGCCCCTTGAGATCGGCGGCAGAGGCCCTTCTCCGGGAACCCTCCGTGAAGATATTAGGAGGGTGAGTACCCGGAGGAGGGCCTTCTCTGCGGTGGTGCCCCACTTATGGAATGCACTCCCCAGAGAGGTCCGCCTGGCGCTGTAGGTGTTTGTTTTTCGGTGCCAGGCCAAGACTTTTTTATTTAAACGTTATTTTAATTGTTAAATTTATTTATTGATTTGATATCTTCCATGGATTTTTACAGATTTTTAATGTAATTGCATAGTATTTATTTGTATTGGAAGCTGCCCCGAGGCTTTTGCGAATGGGGCGGCATAGAAGTGTTCCAAATAAATACAAATAAATAAAATAAATGAGAGACCATGTTATTGTTCATCAGATTCAACACTCTGTTCGTTACAGTTATGTTGGGGTGGTGCTTCTCAAAGAAATCCTGGCGTGGGCACGCTCCTGCAGGAAAGATGAGCGCACTCTCAGCCATCTCCCCCACCCCCCGCAACCAGCACGATTGCAGCCATCTCCACCGCACCCCCCCCAAGTGGGGAGATGGTCACGATTGTAGTCGCATTTGTGCAGGGAACACATGTGTGATTGTGGCTGTGCTGAGCTGCACCCGTCTTTCCTGCAGAAGTGCACCCATCATCACGCACATCTTCCCTGCACTTGCGGGGGTGGGGAGATGGCCGTGATCTTGGTTGCCACCCAAAGTGGAGTTCGCAACCCAAATCAAAATTTTCGTGAACTTTTTGTTCATGACCCAATTTGGTCGGGAACCAAGGTGTTTGTGAGCTGAGGTACCACTGAACTTTAACTTTTCTTTAAACTTCAACTTCACACGTTCTTGACACGGAGAAGCACATGAAGGGAAAGAAGCATGTTTCACGCTCACCTTTCTTTGGTACAGCTCCTCAGGGGTTGTGGACCTCAGGTTCACAAGACGGTAATTCTTTATAATGGTGCGTGGGCGCTTCCTAGGGGGAGCAAACCGCTCCATTTCAGTTACAAAATACAGGCCTTGCTTAAGATAGCCAAAATACCGGGCCTTAGCAGAAGTTTCATCATCAGAATCAGAGTCATCTTCTCCTTCATCTTCATCACCAGGTCTGCTATCCAGGCGCAATCTCTTTGGAACTAGCTTCACCTCACACTACAAAGAAAGCAATTCTTACTAAACAGCACAATGTATCACACTTAAGTCTGTCAGGCTTCAGGACACAAAGAGGCAATAAGCCACCACAATTCTCAGAGCTGCTGGGAGCAAGAACCAGAACCAGAAAATGAATTTCCTCTCAAGCAGCCAGCAGCCAGGTTATTACAGCAGATGGGCCATTAGCACAACCCCATTACAGGTACATTCAGAAAGGACTAAAACCTGCTTAATAAGTATATTTCTTGAGAATGAGTATGGTCTCAATTTCATGGCCATATATAAATACATGAATTTTGCTATAAAATTAAATGCTGGTTCGAAGCAGGGCATTACATAAGGGAAGTATCTATCATCATTGTCATCATCCTTGTCATCTCTGTCTCCCCCGCACAACAATTAAAAGTCATGTATATGCTTTAATTTTGCTTTTAATGTTGTTAAGGGAGACTTGGCAAATTGATTTGCACAGCATGACCAATTACATGTTAAATAACCCCTGGTTAGTTGGGACCAGGCAAGGGTGAACAAGCTGACTTCTTCATGTGGACCATTTCCAGTTCATTTCTACTTTTGTCAACAACCCAGCAATGTCATGGGTTGCTTGCCATGATGTGCAAACTCAGAATTCTGAGTTGTTGGGGAGACAACCCAGAGCTTCCAATGGACAAGGTACCATGGGTTTAAACTCTAGCTGCTTCCTGTCATATCACCCAGCCCTGAAAAAATCATTGTTAGTCTAAATTATGCTTCATTTGAAACAAGCTGGCTTGTTTCAACAAACCATCATTAACATTAACCCCTGTTTGGGACCAGATGCAACACATATGCAGGCAACCTGACACAGAAGTGAATGCTTCTAGCCCAAGGCTTTCTGAAATCCTTTTCCATTATGATAAACCCTATTTTATTGCAACAGCTGGCCCATTGTCAAGCACATATGACTGCTTGATACTGACAATTGGAGCCTGAGATGTGTTGTAAAGGGTTAAACATGTACTTTTAAAAGGTAACATTTCACACATATTCAAAGTGGAGCAGTACCTCCAGGCTTAGGAATCCTCCATCATGAGCCGAAGTGACCTGAGGGGAACTTTCAAACCATTCACAAGATTTCCCCAACAAGTTTTTCAAGGTTTTCACTGACGACACTGTCAAAGCACCTGAACAGCGAGCCAAAATGACAGCGTTCTCTGCCCACCAGTTTACATCTATCAGTGGGTAGTAAGATTCCTTGTCTGCAGCAGGGAGAGGAAGTGGTCCAAGCATTAGAACAAGAACTCGTGCAGCCTCAGTTATTTAATAAAAAAATCATTTTGAGAGTCAAACTTTAATGACAATAAATCAGCGTTGCATAGAGTCTTGCCTCACTACATTTTAATGGTATCAGTTTAATTAAAGCTATCTCTGGCTTAACTAAAGCAAAACTGAATAATTAAAGATTCTGACAGGTTTTTATATCATATTTTTAAAATAAATGTAGATAAACACATTTAGTAGATCTACTCACACAAGATAGGGTGGAATTTTAAAAATTGATAGGCAATACAATATTATTGCTTCTCAAGCTGGCTGAGAGAAAGTCTCTCTGGCAAATGCTTGGAACATTATTCATGGAATCCAGATGAAGCGATAAGCAGAGCTAGCCACCTGGGAGCGTGTCACAATCCGGAGGGAAAAGAATCTGTATACCTTCTCCCAAGAGGAATAAAATATCCATAAAGCTGTAGAGTTGAAAGTGATTTCTACTTAATTATATTTTTTACTGTTTAGCAATTTTGCATCATTGTGTTGCTTGGAAAATATCTGGTAAAAATATGCCTATTTGTGTGTCAGAAAGACTTGCTTCAATGTAATATTTAGGACCGACTGGTGCTTTATACAAGAACCAATGTATATTTTAGTTCAGGTACTTAATTTAGGAGCACATGGAGTCCAGAGTTAGACATGAGCCCTAGGAATCTTTTAAGCATGAACTTAACCATGGACTCAATTTCCTGCATTGCACACAACCAACCAACCATGGATAAATCAACCCAGGGCCACGTAGGATCAAACATATGCACTGTCTCCCACTCACAAGCCCAAAGCTTTTAGTTATTGCAGGGAAAATCATCCCAGAGTTTTAACACAACAAGTATGATTTAAAACTAGCTTGCTTCCCTATGAATTCCAGATTAGCATGTCATACCAAACAACCCAAGAGTGGAGCATTCCTGGGCTGTTTTGTAAACTGGAAGTAAAGCAGGAATAGTTAGCAGGTGGCAGTACACCTGCTTGCTCTTGGGCATCCTTGGAAGCCCATAAATTGTTAGCCATGTCCCAAATTCAAAGTGAGGAAGTAGAATAAGGCATCCAAGAATAAAGTAGCCGATCCTACATATTTATATATTTCACAATTTGTATACCTTCTTATAGCCACATGGTTCTCTAGTTTGAAAAGTTTGAGTGTTTGTGAATGAAAAGGAAATTAAACAGTCACACAGCAAGAAGCTGAGAGCTTTACAGAATATTGATGGAGTTGAGGCTATGAAGAAAGCGAGGGAGGCCACATGGGTCTCAAAGAGGGTTCCTCTACCTAGGGCCTTCCAGATGTCTTGGATGAGTCCTGGTTGGGGGAGGCTGGTCTAACAAAACTAAGCCTTCTGTTTCAGGTTGACTGGATCCATGCATGTGGGGGCGGGGTGGGACGTGAGCTGCAGTGTCTTACTGCAGGTTTTACCTGATCCAAGCTGCAATAAAAGCAGCCTACCTCACAGGGGACTGTAAATTCAGAGGCAATCAAGTTTGTAAGAATAAATTAAAAGTGAGCTATGGAAGTAGCATAATGGCACAGCAATTCTTAAATTAAAATACATTCTTTTCTGCACTCAAATCTGGACATACATGTCTAGAAACGAGATATGTGGACCGACCAACCATAACAGACAGCTACCTGAATGGGACCAGAGGTCAATCTACTCCAGCATCTTATTTACCAGAGTGTCAAACCAGATGCCTCCAATAAATGGAGAGGCAGGACTTCAGGACAATAGCCCTTTCTCTAGTGTTGGGTGCTCTCCAACCACCAGCAGTCACACTGCCACTAAACCTGGAGGTTGCCTCAGGGATCACAACTCGGTTTCACATGAAAATCGGAGTAGGTCAAGATAGACATTTGACTTGCAAGTGCGAAGCTGCTCACATAAGGCAAAGGGGATAAAGAACATGCCCCCATTTTCCCTTGGCATGCAGAGCCAGAAAGAGGATGTGTAAATTACTTGTGTTGCTCCTACATGATGTACAAAGCACATGCTATTCTAGCAATCACACAGGGTGGAACTTTATTGGAATGTAAGCCAGCAGGCAGGAACTGTTTTTACTATTTGCAAGCTGCTCTGGGGTTCTTTCCAGTCATTTAAAATACTATAAATAGATAAGATAGACTTTCTATGATCTTAGTATATCTCTTGAGGGTGCTTGGTTAACAAGACCCTCCTGTCTTCCTCCTCCTCTCTCAAGCACATACATACATACGCATGCAAACCAGACTATGGAGCCAACCTTTAATTTTCTTCCGTTTTTCAAGAGAAAGTCTCCATTCTGGCTTGATTTCATCATAACCTGGCTAAAATAAAAAAAATAACATTTCCCATTAAGTACTTCTGACATACCAGTTTTTTCAAAGGTAATATACACATTTCCTTCAAATAACAGTTAAGAAAAAAAAGATAGCTTAAAAAAAATGTCATGCCACTGTTGTGCAATGAAGTGAAGAAATGGAAAATGAGATGGAAAAAGGCACTTATCCAGCCATAATGCTTAAGCCAGAGTTTCCTTTAACCTGGAGTGTTGTACTAGCCTGGATTTCACTGACATGGCTTGCTTCTCCCAGTGTTGGCTTTTTATTCACCCCAACCCTCCTCTTCTTCAGCCCCTGTTCATTCAATTTCAGTTCAGTCTTGGAAATTTCTTGATCAAAAGAGTGTGAACCCTTTCTTTTCAACCCTCTCCCTTCCCCCAAAAAGGATTTCCTGCTATGGATAGTTTTTCTTTGAACATGCATGCCCTATTACAAAGGGGTAAGAGTGCCTATGATTCCTTTAAAAGTCCCTCCACCCCAGTCCTCAGAAGGCAGGTTGCAGAGGCAGGTGACCAGGCTGAAGAGGGAAAGCTGATCGACAAAGAGGCAGGAGAAGAAAGGAGCCTGTTGCTATGTTTGAGGAGGGAAAGAGAAAATTACAAAAGCACCAAAAGATCTAGTAGTACAGTTGCCCTTTTGGGAGGCTTCCTTATACTGGGAGCAACATGAAACAGATGCTCTAAAAAGTGTGGGGAGAGGCAGCTGGGAGCACAGATGGGGATATCACACAGTGAGCTAGCACTGAAAGACGAGATGGCTGTTTTTGCCATTCCTGTCCTGTTAAAAACAAACAACAGTTTGCGAGCATAATAGTAGAAACACCCAACCCCAAACAATTTTCACTGTCAGGAAAATGAGCCAAGCATAACATATGATTTGGATTGAATTTTAGCAAACCTAAAAGCTTGGATTTTTATTATTTTTGATAGTCAGTCCTGGGTTGCTCAAACTACTCCTGAGTGCCCATTGCAAACAAACTCTGCTTTAATGCAATATCAGGAGAAGGCCTACACAAGTCTCAGATATCTGGTGTAATTTGAACTGAGGATCACAATCAGCCTAGACCAGGGGTCGGCAACCCGTGGCTCCGGAGCCGCACGTGGCTCTTGAATCCCTCTGCTGCGGCTCCATCGCTCAAAACACGCGCCGGCACAGCCACTGATCTGCTCGAAGCTCCACTCAGGAACACAGCGCTAGCTAGTTAAGTAAATCGCTACATTCCTCTGCTAAACAAGCTTCCTGCAGGCTCTCATGTTACATGAAACGAAACGCTGCTGAAAAGATTCTCTTTGTCCCAATGTAATCTCCTTCATCTGAATGTTAAAAGCTGCGCTTGGGACCTGTCGCAATTCACAGCACTTGACTGTTTATCTGCTAATCAGTCACTAAACACACCTATATCTGTGACCTGCGCCAGCACAGCCTCCGATCTGTGGACCCACGCCGATTTACTGAGCTCCCCACCCCCACCCTGTAGGCCAACCATGGATAAATCGAAAAAAAGAAAAGTTTCTGAAGAAAACCAAATGTTTAATGATACGTGGGTAGATTCATTTGCTTTTACTGCTAAAGAACTTATGGGGTTTGCTGTTTAATGCATGCAGCCCTTTAGCACTGACTCTTCAGGAAGCTGTTCTCCTACTCAAACTATATGAAAGGAGTCCTACTAGTTTATAATGTAAGATTAAAAATAACAGTTTTTAGTGACTGAACAAGAGCTGCAGCTAAATCATAATGAAGATATACATAGCATTAAGGTAAAAAACGATATATGCAGTGTCAAAAGGGTTTTGCAGCTCCCAGTGTTTAATTTTGTGTGGGAAACGGGTCCAAATGGCTCTTTGAGTATTAAAGGTTGCCGATCCCTGCACTAGACATTAAGTAGCATTCTCATTTTCCTTCAGGTAGGTGGGTATCCCCCCCCCGCCACCCCCAATCATTTCATGAGAATGATGTCATCTAATTGGTTTTTATTTGCAAGATACATTCAGCTGTCAGTGATCTCTTGTATTATTAGGAACTTAATGCTAAACCTCCCACTACAGAAGACAAGATTGGTATGACAAGATGACAGAAAACTTGAACATTGGTATGCAGGGACAGCAATCTTAAAAATATCACCACCAAGCTATGCCTAAAACAAAGAGTGAAGTGCAGCAGAAAGCCTCTCCAAGCAGAAAGGGGGCCTAACAATTAATATTAGAAATGTGTGTCCAGTTAGAATTATTTCAGCTTAAAAAATTTGCATAAAGGATTGCACACCACAGTGAACTGCTTCCCAAAAGCTGAACTAGCAAGACTCAAATAAGAAAGAAACACTTTGTATCTAGGTCTGAGTGGCACAAGGTTATTTTATCATTCTGGGAAGTGATGATTAAATATATAACTTCAAGTCTGAGGTCTGTCTACAAGTAGTGATTAGAAGACTTGACTGCCTTAGGCTATTCAACCTTAAACCAGTGCAGATGAATAGCAAAGACTGAGGCTTAGCTAAAAAGGATTACAGCCAGCCAGAGCTAATCAAGCCCGTACCACAGTTTCCGTATGGTCAAACGAGATGCCTGACCTTCCATGCCAGGAGGGGGAAATCTGTCAGAAATACAACAAATATGTGTTTCTTGACATTTCTTTCTTTCTATCTCTCTCTCTCTCTCTCTCTCTCTCTCTCTCTCTCTCTCTCTCTATCTATCTATCTTAAACTTTTATATCCCATCCATTACCAAGGTCTTGGGACATTTGAAGCAATTTTAAAAGTTAAGGTTATTAAAGTTGATCACACATTTTGTGAGTTTTTAAATTTTTTTCTGCAAACAACAAAACAGAATGGTGGAAGAATGCATGTGTCTACTGTCTTTCCAGATATACTTTTATATATTATACAAACATTAATGTTGCCACTTGGTCAATATGCACTTGAATGGGGGTGGGTGGCTGAGTTTGGTTAAATCAGTTTTGGATCCCTGCTTATTGTAGCACACTGCTGAAAAACTTACCTTTTTAACTGTAGCTCTTAAGTGGAGACATCTGTATATACCAAACTGTTTATGGAGCTGTCAAGCAACTAAAGAAATTGTACAGTGCAATCTCATGCATATCTACATAGAAGTAAGCTCCATTGAATTCTAAGAGCCTTACTCCCAAGAAAGTATATATAGGATTGTAGCCTGAATGAATCAGTCACTTGAGTTTTGAACTGCAAACTTATATAGACCTATTGCAAGCAAGTCCTAATGAATTACTTCTGTGCAGACACGTGTACAGTTGTACAATCAATTAACTGATTAATTATGTTTGCATAAAGATACAGATTCTGATGAATATAAAGCACACTTGATGATGCACAAATAAAAAACATACAGCTGTTGTGATCACTACATTTTGGAAAATGCCTCTCTATTCCCTTGGCGAAATAACATGCACAGACATATGCATACGAAAACTGAGAGCAAGCACGAGTGCAAGTACACGTTGTTACTAGGAAATCCCTTACAAGTTTCATTCATGCCATAATTTTACAAAATATTAATAGCCACATACCTGGTCACTTTGTTCCCATTCTCCTTGTTGTCTGAGAGAAGGAATTCCCCAGATTGTCAACTTTCCAGAGAAGTGAACAGCTGCTAGCCGAGTACCATCTGGAGAAAGGCTCATCTTGAATACGCCATCCTACTCAATATTTTAATTAATGAGAAAAGCAAAAGCGATGGAATTTAGAAGCATTGACTTCACCAGCCCAAAGCCACATTTCTTTCCACTATCAAGAAAGCCTTCCACTACATGGTTTCCCTTTATGGATTTCTACAGTCCCTACATGTTATAAAACCTAAGATAAACCTATCCCATGTCAACTCAGAAGTAAGGCCCACTGAGTTAAATAGGCCTTAATTCCAGGTAAGTGTTCACAGGATCTCAGCCCTGAAGGTGCAGATAGTCATTTTTGTACAGCTGAAACCCCCAAGAAATGCAGCCAGTGCTACCAGTTCTGAAAATCCCATCAAGGTTGCATGACCTTTCTAATCCCAGGATTCCTCCATGCTGCTACAAACCACCCTGCAGAAACTGACCCAATTGTTTGGAGGAGGAAAACCACCATCATAAGGCAACTATAGGGGTGGGGAAACTTTTTGAATATAGATAATCCCTCCAACATCATTCTAGTGTTTTCTTCTTCTTTTTATGGATGATCACTGTGCAGTCTTGGTGCAAGAGAGCCATACTGCTTGGAAGAGGCAAACATTCAAGCCATATTCTGACTACCAGAGTTCTGAGAATCCTCTTGCTGGCTTGCCATTCACTGCCCTGAGTTCTCCATGAGTTTCAGGGAATATGGGGACACAGGGAAAATGGCACACTTCCCTTTGCAGGAGCTTCCTGCCTTCTGCAAAAGCACCCGTTTCTGGGAAAGGAAAGAAGGCCCACCTTCCAAATGCTACAACGTGAGCAGAAAATGTGACAGAAGAACAGGAACGTGTTGACCTGTGAGATATGCAATGCATTCTTCGTCACCAATTTCAAGCAGCAGCGGCGGCAGCAGATTCATCCTCATCCAGCCTAATCTCTGGAAATTTGAGTGTGCCTTCTCTCATCCATTCCATCTCACAGGTAGCACCATAGACACACATCTCCAAAGGAGATGAAGATCAATGTCAACCATCCCTGTCCCAATTTCTGCATCATGTGCTTCCCCACTTCTCTGGCTAGGGGACTCAGTCACCGTCAGAAAATATGCCAGACAAACCACTAGGGCACGGTTGTCAAGAGCTTTCAGCCCAAGGGTCAAATTCAGTTTCCAGTAAGTTCTCATTCAATGATGGAAGGAGCCAAAACACTCAAACTAGTAGTATATTTGGGTGTCTCCTATGTCAGTGGGAAACTCCTTATCCATCCCAGCTTATATTCTGAGCTTTATAAGAGCTACCCACAGTGTGGGACCTGTTTGGGGGATGGAATTCAGCCCCATGAAGGGCCCCTAGAAAGCTTGGCATGAAAGCTAAAAAGGAAGACAAGACCCACCTGTGGAAGTGTCACCAGCCTCATCCAAGCTGATGGACACCTAATTGCAAGCTCCAAGACTTGCAGGAGGCATTTCAAATGTATAGAGCCCAGAGGAGGGGAAAGCAACTGGCAAAAGCCAGGAAACCACTGAACAATAAGCAGCTGCGGGAAAGGGAGTGAGGCCAGGGGAAGGAACACAGTCATTGCAGGAACCCACCTAGACCAGTTCAACACCCGTGCACTGGGGTAGCTCACTGCTCCAGGACAGCAAAAGGGAGGGAAACTGGATGAGCTCTGCTTCTGGGGTCGGCTCATAGTGCTGAGCTCTATAGAAGGATTTCACAAATACATCTACTCCAGTGAGAGCCTGAGAACGTCTTCAAGACCATTCTGGAGTGAGTGGCTTATGACAAAGCAGCGCCTTTTATCTCCCTGAATCAGATATCCTGGAAATCCTGCCCAGGGCCAATCCACTAGATGTGCACAGACTAGAGCTAGCAGAAGCCTGCAGGAGGTCTGGGTCAGCTCAGCCTTGCTTTATTATGAAACGCAATTTGGAACGTCGCCACTGGAAAGTTTCACTGGCTTGTGTGCAACTTCCAGTGACAAGCAAGCAGTTGCCTTTCACAGCTCTTGCTTTCATTCAGAGGCACTGATACTCTTTTCTCTTATCTGACCATTAACCAAAGGAATGTGGCAAATATTTTAACAATTCTAACAATTTTAAAAGTTATTATATTTGTTTTTATATACTTTGCAGGATTGCTGTTTGCTTATTTAGTTGTTCACATTCATATTCATGTTCATTTTTATCTTTGTGTATTATTTATATTATTGCTTGTTCTAGTTGGTTGGCTCAGGTGTTGAATTGTCTTCCTAATAAACTGCATTATTATAGTTTTGCTATTTTATTATTATAAAGTAATTTAATGCTATATTATTATTATTATATTGTCTTTTGAATCTTGTAAATCATTTTGAGAGCCAAACTGTCTATGGTGGATGGTATATAAAAGCTTGTATGTATAACCAATAATCAATCAATACATATAAATAATATCAATAGTATTTCAATATGAGCTGCACTGGAGCCAACTTGCAGAGTGCCACATGGTTCCGCCCAGCCTCCCTTATTCTGTACAAGGGAGCTGCCTGGAAAGATCACTGAAAACAGGGCAGAGTGTCATTATGCTGATGATACTCTGCACTATGTTTACTTTTCAGCAGATCCAAGAGCAGCACTTGCATCCCTGAAGCAGTGTCTTTGTAGGTCGAAAATAAGCTGGTGGGGGTTTGGCTTAATGCAGTGTACCCATCACAGCAATTAACTGAATCTAGATGAGGAAAGTGTGATGGTGGCTGGAGATGGTTCAACTTCAAAGGTCCCAAATACAGATGAAATCCACCCTTGGGTACTTGGCCGCAAGTATTTAGCCTAAATATCCACAGGTAGTTAGCCTAAAAGGGACTCTTTTTGGCAGAGATGTTTCCTGCTGAACTGCCAGATGGTAGCCATAACCGAGAATGCATCATTAGACGAAGAGGTGGTTTTCTTCCTGAGTTTTTTAAGCACTGACACTCTGGAAAACTCAAGCATAGCTGGGAGACACTATAGCAACCTTCCCCAACCCTCCAGATTATGGGACACAACTACCAGCATTCCTGACCATTGGCCATGCTGGCTGGGGCTGATAGGAGCTGAAATCCAAAATATTAGCAGGTTAGGGAAGACTGCCCTATACAGTGACTGTCCTTGCCATGAGCTGCAAAGAAGTCTGTAGGAATCACACCACCCATTACCTGCTCTCTTCTTTGCCTGTGGTAAAATCTGAGATTCATAAACTTGAACAATGACCTTCTCTTAGCCTGTAAAAAGGAGAAAAGCATATCAAATTCACTTATCATATATATTTCCCTTTGTCAGAAGCAAAACAAACCATGACGTTGACAAACAGAAAGTACATTTTTCTAAAATAAATATGAAGAATTTAAGTGGTTCTGAATATTGTTCCTGTGGAATGTTTAAGATAATTCCTTGGACCTCAGACAAAGGCCTGGAGTCACACTTAAATCCAGACCTGGCGGGAGGGGAGGGGTCATGATACACTTACACCCTATTAAATCCATGCCATTTGCAACTTCACCATCCCTAATTGGTCATATGGGAATGGAAGGCATGAGCATATCCTACATAGATCGTAAGACTAATTAAATCGAGAAATCAACTGTACCTGCCACACACACATAGGTGGCATTGGGACAATCCATCCCCATGTTCACAAGCAGGCATAACCATGGTGTGGAGAAGAACCAGGTGGGGCAGTAGGAGCAGCTGTGAGCATTCTCTGCCTTCTGTGCATGGGGCCCCATCAGGGAAGAAGGATCATCTGATCTACACTTACAGCAGCCCAGTATAACCAGGATGGGCAATGTTAGCCCCTCCAGATGTTGCTGGGCTGCCACTCCCATCTGCACAGCCCACAACATCTGGAGGGCCACAAGTTGTCCGTCCCTGCCACATGGGACAAATAAACTGCAGGGTGTGTGATACTGTAAACAGAATAAACACTAACTGGTTCTAAAAGAGACAGGCATGCTTAATCACCTTATAAAGTATCTAAAACCAATCAAGAGTTACTCACTGTCCCAATATCATCCTCATAGCTTGTGACCTGCTTATAATAGGGTACTCCCGAAAGAACTCTCCATGCTGACAGACCACAGCTACCGGCTTTGGATACTCCCGTTCCATCCTCATCCATTTCACAGCCACCTATAATCAAAAGTCTATTGCAACAAGATTGCACAAAGTTTAGTTTGATATCCTCCCATTTTCAAAAAGTACTTTGCCACAGCGATAACCTCTTGTTTTAAAAACAATGCAACATTTTCCATCTGTGGTAATTTGACAGCTCTTGAATGGTTTATATTATATTTAATAACTCTGCCACCTGGAAATCAAACATCTCATTTTGCATGTCATATTTAAAACAGTTACTCAGAGCAAAAAAAGAAAAAATAATTTGTGGTTATTATTTGGAAGCATCCATCGCTGCAATTTTTATTCATTTATCTGGGGGTAAGACCAACTGAACTCACTGGCTTCGGGCACAAGATCACGAAAGGGGAAATAAGCCACAGCAATAGGGGAATGATTTGCAGGATTACCCTCGTTAGCATGGACCGCCATGCTGCGCACACCCAGCAAGGTAGGATGCTGTTGTGGTTAACAAGCCACCCAGAGAGCACGGTAAGGCTCTCATGCAAATCCACTGGCAGGGGGAAACGATCAACCATACTTCTTCCTTCCTCCATGATTCTATGAACAGGCATCCTGTGGCTTAACACTGAGCAGATACGCATGGAATTGTGTGTTCCTATGCCAGCATCCTGTGCCCTTAACCCAGAAGTAAGCCTGATTGAACTCAATGGGGCTTGCTTCTGAGTACACGGGTACAGGACTGCGCTTCACCTAGCAAGCAATTTCTGAAGCAATGTATTACATTTCTGTAACATCCCCTCAGCCAAAGCTGGTTGGCTTTGGGTGGTTTACAAGAAAATGCTTAAAACCATAAATACCACAACATAAATGCCTATTATAGCATTTATTTATTTATTTTCAGTGGGAAAAGATAGACAGTGAGGAGGTCGGGCATTGTTCCACCAGACTTTGGTAACCAGAGTATAAACATGAAAGAAAAAGTCTAGATCCGATATTGCCATCTAGTGGTTAACACACAAATGCACGTGCGTGCGTGCACATACACAAACACAAGATGTATGACTATAGATTTGTATTTTTTTAATGATAATGTTTCACCAGAATTACCAAAGAGATAAGGAAAGTCAGCATAACCCCAAAATTATAGCTGAAATGAATGCAGGATATGATGCTTTTCCTTAAAAGTCCTAGTCACCATACTGGAAGCTATCATAAAACAAAACAGATGCATTTGAGAGACAAATAATTAGGCAGTACACAACTTATTTTTGTAACTCTTTTTTTTTTAAGAGAAGGGAAGAGTCCAAGCTGGTGCTGAAGGATTAAGGTTGCTGTGAACATTTATTTGGCAGGAAGTCCTACTGAACAAGTGGAACTTATTTCCTGAGAAAATCTGCATAGGATTGTGCTATTCATGCATCACATTAAAGTTCTTGCAAGAGGCTTTCTCAGGTGGGATTTAATTTTCAGAGACTTCTGACCATCATGATTACATAAACATCTGAAATCATTAATGATGGGAAACAAAGGACCAAGTAAGATCCAAAGCAGCCGTCACCACCCTGGTGATCTTCACATATATTGGACTATAACTCTGCCCAGCCCTCCACTACCGGCTTAGAGATTATGGAAGCTATAGCCCATAATGGAGAGCAGTAGGTTGGAGGAGGCTATTCTAAGTTCCACCCTCAGGAACTCTTCAATTAATATAAAAATATATTAAATGCAGATGGCCAAAGGTGAGCATGTGAGATCACATGATGGCTCTCTCTCACCTCTTTTAAAGATTAGTGATAAATACACAAAAAGGGAACTAATGTCAAGAGCAGACTTATTTATTTATTTATTTATTTATTTAAAACTTTTCTATGCCACCCCATTGCAATAAAGCCTCGGGGCGGCTCACAAAACATCAATAAATAACAATACAATAAAACCCCAATACAATAAAACCCCAGTGCAATAAAACCTCAGTACATTCTCGGCTAAATTAAAAAAAAAAAAAAACCTAGTTAAATAAATAAATTAACAATTAAAATAAGTTTTAAATAAAAAGGTCTTAGCCTGGCGCCGAAAAACAAATAACGATGGCGCCAGGCGGACCTCTCTGTGGAGCGCATTCCATAAATGGGGCGTCACCGCAGAGAAGGCCCTCCTCCAGGTACTCACCCTCCTGATGTCATTCACAGATGGTTCCCGGAGAAGGGCATCTGCTGCTCACCTCAAGGGGCGGGAGGGCATATATGGGAGCAAGCGTTCCTTTAGGTATCCAGGTCCCAAGCCGTTGAGGGCTTTATAGGTCATAACCAACACCTTGAATTGGGCCCGGACTTCAATCGGGAGCCAGTGGAGCTGACGGAGAACTGGGGTTATATGAGAACAACGCCCAGTCCCCGTCAGCAACCAGGCAGCTCTATTCTGCACCAATTGAAGTATCCGGACTGTCTTCAAGGGTAGCCCCACGTAGAGCGCGTTACAGACTTGATGTTTATGATTCGAAGATCCATACTGAACTTGGAGCTTCCTTTTAGAAATTTCAGCCATGGGGGTAGGGGGACAAATCAGGACAGTAGCAAATGGGGAATCAATTCTGACCATAGACACAAGCTTTTTTCCCCATTGAAAACCATCTCCGGAACTTGCTATTTGTCCTGAAACCCTGCTGCAGTGGCATACTGTGAGACCAGGTAGTAGTTTGGGGGGAAATGGCAATGCAGCAACACAAGGCAAAAAGGTCAGGCTCCCCACCACCCCTCCCTACACACCAAATGATAACACATTCCCCTTCTGCCAGGAATTTCTAAAAGAAAAGGCAATGCAGGATAATCACATGGTAAACATATTGGATTCAGCCAACATGACAAGGGTTAACCATGGTTGCATTAAACTGTGGGTTGTTCTTGAAATATGGGATAGCATGTTGTCTGAACGCAGTATGATTGCAGTAACAATACAAGTCTTGTACTGTTAACCACGAACAGTCTATGAAGAGAATGCATAGTTTGTGGTTGGGTTGCGAATTGTGGGGTTTTCAGCTTAGCTGGTTATCTTGCCTGAGTTCAGACAGCCTCACATACCAACCACCATCCATGGTTCAGTGACACTCAAGAGTTGATTGTAGGTTCTCATGTTTTCTGAGCCCAGTCACTGTCTTTTCCAAATAGAAGCTGAAACTGAAGCTTTGTTTGGACACACGTCTATCACTTATCAACTGTAAAATAATGCATTTGCATGTGCAATGGGCCATCACAGATCCAACACAACAGACAGAAATTTCTTATCACAATCCGTCCTTTCATGTGCCATGCCTGGCAATCAAGTCCATCCACATATTCAGCTGCCAGTCCTCAAGTGCCTAGCAATCAAGTGACACAGAAGCATGTATAAATGAGGCCTCAGCAAGGTCTAAGCCTTGGTCCCAGAAGAAATCTCTTTGCTTAGTTTTGATGTTGTGAAAACATCCAGAGTTTCCACCACAATTTAGCTTGACACTTGAATCCTCCTTTTTGCCATTTTTCTAAAATTTTCTGCACACTAAATATCTCTCTCCCCTCCCCTCACTAGCACACAGATGAAAGGAAATGTTTACAGAATTGGATAGATATTGCAACAAAATTAGAAAAAATAAGGAATTCTTTTGGAATCTTTCCAAAAATAATCAAGTAAAACATAATCAAACAGGACGAATAACATTTTGATTTCAAGAACCAGTACGGTGAAGTGCTTAGAGTGCTCACCAGGGACTTGGGAAATCTAAGTGTCAGTTCCAACTAGGTCATGAAGCTCACGGGATGCCTTTGGGCAAGTATCAGTCTAACCTACTGCAGAGTGTTGTTGTTAGGGTAAAAAGGAGAGGGGGACATACTATGGAAGCTGCCTTGGGTTCCTTGCAGTGAAAAGGTGGGAAATAAATAAATAAAATCAAGTGCCTCTTCTGTTCATGGAAGCCAAATCAGGATCCAGGGGATCATGCTTACCTTCTATTGGTTCAGTAAAAGAAGCAAAGATTTAAATATTAGTATGAAACTTTGGGAAAAGGCACCTCCTCTGCTTAGGACAGTAGTTGTATTCTACTCCAGAACTGTCCGCACAAGCTTGTTTAGGCTGTCTCAAGGGAATGCCTGACTTCCAAGGAAGAGGCACTAGAGAGCATTTGACAAATATATGTTGACTACTGGAGCGCACCAAGGAATTTCAGAAGGAGATTCATCTATGCTTCATAGACTATAGCAAAGTCTTTGACTGAGTGGATGGTCCTGAAAGAAACAGGTGTGCCTCAGCACTTGATGGTCCTGAAGCATAACCTGTATCTGGTACAAGAAGCTCTGTTAGGACAGACTAGGAAGAAACAGCATGGTTTCCTACAGGCAAAGTTGTCAGACAAGGTTGTGTTTCCCCACCCTATCTATTCAGTTCATACATAGACCATACCATAAGGAAAGCTTGTTTAGAATGAGCAAAAGAAAGATTGAATATTTGTAGAAAGCCCAACAATAATGTAAGATATGTGGATGATACCATATTACTGACAGGAAGCAAATGGAAACAACTCCTAATAAAATTAAAAGTAGAAAGTGTCAGAGCTGAGAAGAAGACAATCGATGCATTCAAAGCATCATGCTGGACAGGAGCTGTGTGAATACCTTCGACTGACAGAAAGACAAACAAAATTTGATCCTAGATCAAATCAAATCAGAACTCTCTCTGAAAGCAAAAATGATGAAACAAGCTGTCAGACTTTGGGCACATCATAAGAAGGAGAAAAGAACAATGCTAGGGAAAATCAAAGGAAGAGCAGACCAAATATGACATGAGTTGAGTCCATAAAGGAAGCTGCAGCCTCGAGCTGAGCAGGACTGTCAGGACAGGACATTTTGGAGGGTGTCCATCCATAGATAGGAGACAACGTGAGCATGTAACAACAAGAACAAGAACAAGCAGTACCACAGCTGGTGGCAGCAATTTAAAGAAGGCCTAAAACTTAGCAACCAAGAAGTTTGTTGGGCAAAAGACATATGGAAGTTCCTAGCATTTTATTTTGCCTTCTTCTCAGGATGGTTTCAGG